ACTAAGAGAATCCAGCACCCCTTTAATTCTGGGGAGAAAAGAGAGGGTCCAGTTTATGAGAACTGGAAAAGAGAGGGGTCTAGGTAGATGGAGCTGGCAAGAAGAAATAAAGGGTACAAAGCTCTAGAAAGTGGTGCTAATTAATCTACCTAAGCTGGATGAGAGGCTAGGACTCGGTCTTGGGATTGATGAGAGTTTCATCTAGTGTGTGGGGGGCTGTGTCTCCCCCTAGGGAGGCAAAGGCAGCATTTGCTCTCAGAAATCCCAGGTCCCTGGAGCAGGCAGGGCTTTTGACGCCTCTAGCCCACGCTCCTCCCCATGTACCTATGGCGACACTGAGGCTCTGGGCGCATGTTGCAGGGTTCTCTTGGGCAACAGAGCAAGGAATAGTGACTCCAGCTTGGGAGACGTGCTTCCCGCTGCTCCAGAGGGACCAACTTTGAGGACTTGGATGCTGGACTTCTGTGGAAGTCCCAGCTCCACGTTCCAGCTCCTTAGCTGCCAGAGCAGCAAGTCAGCAGCCGGGGCTGGCACCCATCCAGCCCTGGGAACTCGGTGTCCTCCGGGCAGATAAGGCGGGTGGGGCTTCCCAGGAAAAGCCTCAAGGAGGGAGCATCCCCACGTTCTGCTCATCCAGAAGAGGGAGTGGAAATCAGTTTTTAGCCGGGACTGTTCCCCGGGCTTCTGTCCTCTGAAGGCTTGGAGTATGATTCCCCCATTCTTCCCAGCCTTCCATCCCGCTAAACAACACTTCACCCTTTCACTTGTCTCACCTCTACTGTTCCCTTTTGCCTGAAATGCTTCCCTTCTTCTCCTCTGCCTGTCCCAATTCCTGCCCATCTTTTCAAGCCTGTCCCAATGCTACCTCTTCCAGGAAGCTCTCCTGGACTCTCCATCCCTTGCCCTCTGGTCAGAAGTCTAGTTCCTTTCCTGGGCTCCCAGGAAAATTCAGTTCCAGCTGCTGCTGCTGTTGTTCAGTGTCACGGACATGCCTTGAAAACCTATGCAGTTTATCAGATAGCTTAGAGTTATCTGATAGCTTAGAGAGCTATCAGAGAGCTTAGAGTTCTGTGAGGCAGACAGATGTTGACACCTTCTCCCCACCACCAAATGGGTAAAGTCATAGGGCTAGTTGGTGTGGGAGGCTGCAGGTCGTCAGAGGAGGGCTCCCAGCCCCAATCCAGGAGGGCTTCTTGGAAGAGGATGCATCTGTGTTCACAACCGGGCAACACAGTGGGTCGTCAGCATCTGGGTGGAAAAGCCTAGGAGAGAGAAAAGGTCTGGAAAACTCTTAAAGATCCCAAGGGCCCTTCAGGCAGGGTTTGTAGGCAGCTCCACTCTATTTGGCTCAGTCTTTCTCGGTGAATTCCAAGCTAGCAATGAAAAGAGGGATTCCAGGAACCTCAGTGAAATGGCTCATCGGGAAGTTTGGTCCCAAGAGAAGGGTGGACAGACTAGAAGGACACACACAATCCTCAAAATAACCACGGGGCCAGAACAGTGGCTCGCGCCTGTAATCCCAGTACTTCGGGGGGCCGAGGTGGGTAGATCACTTGAGCCCAGGAGTTGCAGACTGGCCTGGGCAAGACAGCAAAACTCCGTTTCTACAAAAAATACAAAAATTAGCTGGGCGTGGTGGCACATGCCTGTAGTCCCAGCTACTTGGGAGGCTGAGGTGGGGGAATCACTTGATCCCAGGAGGTTGAGGCTGTAGTACGCCATGACTGCACCACTGCACTTTAGCCTGGGCATAAGACCGAGACCCTATCTCAAAACAATAAAATAAAATAAATAAATAAAATAAAAAGCCCACAGGACCCAGGAAATTACTCTGTCAGAAACCATTCCAATGCATATGCTGGGTTAATGACTTTGGACTTTAAGAAAAGCAAAAAGCCGAAGTTGTCAACCCTGGCTGTGCATTAGAGTCACCTGGAGTGGGCTGGGCGCGGTGGCTCAAGGTTGTAATCCTAGCATTTTGGGAGGCCGAGGCGGGTGAATTGCCTGAGCTCAGGAGTTCGAGACCAGCCTGGGCAACATGATGAAACCCCGTCTCTACTAAAATACAAAAAAATTAGCCGGGTGTGGCGGTGTATGCCTGTAATCCCAGCTACTCGGGAGGCTGAGGCAGGAGAATTGCTAGAACCTGGGAGGTGGAGGTTGCAGTGAGCCGAGATCATGCCACTGCACTCAAGCCTGGGCGATAGAGTGAGACTCCATCTCAAAAAAAAGAATCACTTGGAGTGGTTACTAAAGTGTCTTTACTAAAAGACAAAACCTGGCTTTAGGGTGTTTCATTTCCTCTTGTTGGACCATCATACTATCATCAAACAGACATTTAGAGGATGTGGCTCTGCATCAGGCCCTGTTCTGGGCATTGGAATGTGATCCTCATGCTCAAAAAGCTCATTGGCTCTCACCTGTAACCCCAGCAATTTAAGAGGCTGAGGCGGGTGGATCACCTGAGGTCAGGAGTTCAAGACCAGCCTGACCAACATGATGAAACCCTATCCCTACTAAAAATACAAAAAATTAGCGGAGCATGGTGGTGCATGCCTGTAATCCTGGCTACTTGGGACGCTGAAGCAGGAGAATCACTTGAACCCAAGAGGCGGAGGTTACAGCTAGCCAAGATCGTGCCATTGCACTCCAGCCTGGGCAATAGAGTGAGACTCTGTCAAAAAGAAGAGAGAAAAAGAGAAAAGACAGAAAGAGAGAAAAAGAGGAAGGAAGAAAGGAAGGAAGGAAGGGAGGAAGGAAGGAAGGAAGGAAGGCAGGCAGGCAGGCGGGCGTGGTGGCTCATGCCTGTAATCCCAGCACTTTGGGAGGCTGAGGCGGGTGGATCACGAGGTCAGGAGTTCAAGATCAGCCTGGCCAACATGGTGAAACCCCGTCTCTACTAAAAACTACAAAAATTAGCCGGGCGTGGTGGCATGCACCTGTGGTTCCGGCTACTCAGGAGGCTGAGGCAGAAGAATCGCTTGAACCTGGGAGGTGGAGGTTGCAGTGAGCTGAGATCATGTCACTGCACTCCAGTCTGGGCGACAAGGTGAGACTCCATCAAAAAAAAAAAAGGGGGGGAAAGAAAGAAGAAACAAAGAGGGAGGGAGGGAGGGAGGGAGGAAGGAAGGAAGGAAGGAAGGAAGGAAGGAAGGAAGGAAGGAAGGAAGGAAGGAAGGAAGGAGGAAGGAAGGGAGGGAGAGAGGGAGGGAATCAACTGGAGTGGTTAAAAAATACAGATGCCCCCACCCCACCTCAATTAATGAGACTCTGTGGCTGGGGTCTAGGGTATACAGGAGATTCTGATGCCAGGGTGGAGACCAACTGGCTTAAAGCATGGCTCAGGATCTCCCGGAGAAGAAGGCAGGGCAGTGTGCAAGATGGTATGGAAACATGTTTCAACAGAGATGGTTAAACTAAGGCAAGTTGTCTATTTAAAAGTTCAACTTCAGTTATCCAAGAAGTTCAGCTTTGCAAAACAGCTCAAGGAAGCAGGCTGCAGAAAGGAGAGGATGGAAGCTAGGGACTGGCAAGAGAAAGATCCCCACTCTGCCACTTGCCTACCTACCCAAAGTGGTGCTGGACTTGAGGCAAGTTATTGAACATCTCTGAGCCAATTTCCTCATCTGTAAAACGAGGACAGTCATGGTGTCAGGCCCAGACTTTGACTATTAGTAACAATGAAGTAAAGAAGTGCCCATTGTTCAATAAATATTAATTCCCATCTTCTGACCCAGAAGGTTCCAGATGCATGAAGGCACCATTGTGCAAGAGACGGACTTTAATGCCCCTTGACATTTTTACATAGTGACTTACCATTTTTAGAGGAATATATCCAGTTCATAGGTAAGTCATTGCCCGGTGAATGGTAAGCAGACATTGACTCAGGGGAAAGCTATGTATATTCCTAGAAGAAGAGCCAGATCCTGGAAATGACAAGGAGTTTCAACAACCGTGGAGTCCTTTGATTTCGCAATCACCCATAGAGGCTTGTTTTTACTAAAAGACAAAACCTGGCTTTAGGATGTTTAATTTCTTCTTGTTGGACCATCATGCCATCATCAAACAGATATTTAGAGGATGTGGCTCTGCATCAGACCCTGTTCTGGGCACTGGGATATGATCCTCATGCTCAAAAAGCTTATTGGCTCACCCCTGTAATCCCAGCATTTTAAGAGGCTGAGGTGGGTGGATCACCTGAGGTCAGGAGTTCAAGACCAGCCTGACCAACATGATGAAACCCTGTCTCTACTAAAAATACAAAAAATTAGCGGGGCGTGGTGGTGCATGCCTGTAATCCTGGCTACTTGGGAGGCTGAGGCAGGAGAATCACTTGAACCCAAGAGGTAGAGGTTGCAGCAAGCCAAGATCGTGCCATTGCACTCAAGCCTGGGCAATAGAGTGAGACTTTGTTGAAAGAAAGAAAGATGAAAGAAAGAAGAAAGAAAGAAAGAAAGAAACAAAGAGAAGAGAGAGAGAAAGGAAGAGAAGAGGAAGGAAGAAAGAAACAGAAAGAAAGAGAAAGGAAGGAAGGGAAGGAGAGAAAGAGAGGAAAGAAGAAAGAAGAAAGAAAGAGAAAGAAAGAAAGAAAGAAAGAAAGAAAGAAAAAAAGAAAGAAAGAAAGAAAGAAAGAAAGAAAGAAAGAAAGAAAGAAAAGAAAAGAAAAGAAAAGAAAAGAAAAGAAAAGAAAAGAAAGAAAAAAAAAGAAAGGATGAAAGAAAGAAGCTCCTTGTCTAGTGGAAAGCCTGACTTTAGTATCCTCTGAGGTGGGGATGGGAGCAGGCAGTTAGAGGAAAGAGTGGCAGCCCAGGAGCACCAATGGGTTATTATGGCTCTCCATCTCTCCCTAGAGTCTCAGCTCTCCCACGAATGCAACTGCTGCCCCAGCCTGTACTGGCCTCCTTTTGTTTTCCCATCTGTAAAATGTAGTAGGGAGCCAGAGAGAAGTGAATTCAATGATCTCTGTATGGAGAATTTTGGGAAATGTAATGAGTCCTACGGCCTCCACTCGTGTTTTAATTAAAGATGACAGCAAGCTCTGTTGGGAAAAATTTCACAACAGGCCCTGGACCCATCTGGCTTTTCCTCTGTGGGGGGTACAAGTGGAGCAATGATAGATGATTGTCATGTGATACATGGAGAACCTCCTTCCTCGCAGACCTTCTTTCTCATCTCCGCTCCACCTCAATACTGTGCCGCGCTGCCTGTCAGGGTGAGTCCCAGACTGGTCTCGGCCTCTTCCCACCAAGACTTCGGTCTCTGTATCTGAAAAATGACGATAAGCCCTCCTGTGTAATGTGCTGCTGGGGTGCTGGAAAGAGCAGACAGCAGCGACACGGGGGCTCACCTGGGCCTGGCAGAGCCTGGCCTCCACCCTCTGGGGATTCCAGATTTGCATTGAACAGTTTGGTCTGAGAGGCCAGCTTGGCCCGGGCGAGGAGAATGTCACCCTGCTTCTGGGTGCATTTGAGAGCAGCTTTGTGACAGCAGCTGATGATCTCCATGATAAATGAGTCGCTAAATGAATCCTCGCATCACGGAGTTGAGTGTTTTTTGTTAGCCCTTAGAGGAAGGGAGGGAAGAGAGATGGAGGCCGGGGAAGGACACAAAGAAGCACCCAGCAGGCCTCTCACCAGCCCCTCTGCCTCCTTCTGGGCTCCTTTCTTTCCTTCCACCCATGTTTGCTGAGCTCCCAGTGTGTGCTGGGCCCTGTGCTGGCTCATAGAGCTCAGGGCTGAAGCATCCACAGTCTCTGCTGCCCAGCAGACAGGAAGAGAAGCTCAGTGTGATCAGTGCTGCAACGGAGGGGAGCCCGGGAGACTGTGGGGACTCAGAGGTGGGCTCTGACCTGTCCTGGCGGGTAGGGAGTGGCAGGGAAGGCATTCTAGGGAAAGCTTGCAGGGCGAGTCCACCCGGTGGAAGACAGCACTCCTGAAAGAGGGAGAACCACCGGCCCAAGCAGAGGAAGCAAAGTTTTGGGGAGTGGAGCGCAGGAGGCAAGGGTGCAGGGTGGTGGAGACCACAGCCGGAGGGATCAGCAGGAGCTAGAGCCCGAATGGCCTCGAGTCCCAGGCTGGGAGCTCAGACACTCTTCAGAGGCCCGAGGGAGCCAGGGCAGGGTTTTCCCAGGAAAGGATGCCTGGGTTAACTGGAGGAGAGTGGATTGAAGAGGATGGACCGGGGGGCAGGCGGTTGGTGGGAGGGCCCCCTGATTACTCGTGTTGCTTTCTTCACTCTCTCGGAGAGTGCATCTTGAGGGCCTGCTCGTCTCTCACCACGCATCAGCTGGTCAGCCCCTCCGCTGGGCACTGACTCAGGAGCGAGCTGCAAAGCGCAGGCCCGCGCTCCACAAAGCTTCCTTTGTGAGGCGCCCGGGCCGTGGGGGCGTGGTACTCTGCTGCCCTCTAGCGAGGGCTGGGGATGCGCCCTGCGGGGTGCCCAGCCGGCTGCTAAGGTCCCTGCAGGCCTTCCATCTGTCCTATCCTCAACCATGTCAGGGGAAGCCGAGACTTACTGCTCCTGAAGAAGGGATGCAGTCTGCAGACAAAAACAGGGTAAAGAGGAGAGGGGGTACACAGAAGAACTCAGCCCTAGCTGTGGGAACAGGGAGCACCGTGGTCAATGGGGGTGCCACTGGCTGGGAGCCCAGCTTAGCAGCTTTAGTTTCCTGGAATGAATAAGCCCAGACTCCGAAGGATGGAAGCGTAGTAATAGTGATGATGGTGGTGGTTACGGTAGAGATTTTGATGATGGTGGTGACGGTGGTTGCAGTGACTAAATGACTATGGCGCCTGCTGGTTACGTAGGCGTTGGTGGTGATGGTTGAGTTTTGGTGATGGTGGTGATGGGGTTAGGGTGATAGTGGTGGTAATGATGACGATGATGGAAGTAGAAATAGTGGTGGTGGTGACGGAGGAGGTGGCTAAACAGCTACTATGAACAGTCTGATATGTGTCTTTTTTTCTTTTCGTTTTTCTTTTTCTAGACTGGGTCTCACTCTGTTGCCTCTGCTGGAGTGCAGTGGTACGATCTCGGCTCACTGCAGCCTCAACGTCTGGGCTCAAGTGATGCTCCCACTTCAGCCTCCTCACCCTGCTAATTTTTGTAATTTTTGTAGAGATGGGATTTCACCATGTTGCCCAGGTTGGTCTTGAACTCCTGGCTCAAGCGATCCTCCTGCCTCAGCCTCCCAAAGTGCCGGGATTACAGGTGAGAAGCACCATGCCCAGTCTCATATAGGTCTTTTGTTGGATATTTGCACTCATTTCTCTTAGGCAGAGACCTAAGTGGAATTGCTAGATCATGGGATAGGGATATGTTTAGCTTTAGTAGATATTGCAAAATCGTTTTCTGAAAATGGTTCACAAACATTTTCGTTTGAATTGTATTCATTCTGGTATGTGTGTACTTGTATCTCACTATGGTTTTAATTTCATTTCCCTGGTGACTAATTATGTTGGGCAATTTTCATATGTTTATTAAATATTTGGATATCATATTTTGCAAAATGCCAGTTCAAACCTTTTGGTCAGTTTCAAGTTGGGTTGTTATTCTTTTTCTTACTGGCTTGTAGAAGCTCTGTATATATTCTGGATAGAAGTCCTTTGTCAGATATATGTATTGCAAATAACTTTTCTCAGTCTGCGGTTTGCTTTTTTACCTCTTAAATGCAATCTTCTGATGAACAGTTTTTCATTTCAATGTGGTCCAATACATCAATTTTTTTTACGGTTAGTGCTTTTTTGTGACTTGTTTAGGAAACCTTTGTCTACTCTCAATGTCAGGAAAATATTATCTAGATTTTCTTCTAAATTTAGATCCACCATAAATTTTAAATTAATATTGTGAATGATGTAAAGTATGAAATCAAGGATTTTTTTTTCTTTCCCTAAATGGATATCCAATTAATCCAGCCCAATTTGTTGAAAAGAACAATATTCTCCCAACTGAGGGCAGGGCTTCCTTTGTCATAAATCAGGTGATGCGTATGGACAGATGTGTTGCTGGAGGCTGTTCTATTTCATTCGCTGGTCTTTGCACCAATGCCACACTGTCTTGATCACTGTAGCTTTACATTAAGTCTTGGGATCTGGTAGATTAAGTCCTCCAACTTTGCTCTTCTCCATTATTATCTTGGCTGTTGTAGTCTTTTGCATTTTCATATACATTTTAGAATCAGCTTGTCAATTTTCATTTTTAAAAGTCCCTGCTGGGATATTGATTGGGATTGCATTGAATCTACATATGTCAGTTTACGGGAAAGTAACATCTTCACAATGCTCTATCTTCTAATTCATAAACATGGTAATTCTCTCCTTTTATTTAGGTCTTCCTAAATATCAGCAATGTTTTGCTATTTTCAACATTTTTATGCCTTTTATTAAATTTATTTCTAAGACATTGTGTTTTTTGATGCTGCTCTGAATGTTAACATTTTAATTTCCAATTGTGTATTTCATATGTAATTCACAAGTATATATAATATATGCATATTGACATTGTATCAGAGACTTTGGAGATTCTTAAGAATTTTCTATATACACATATTTATGTATACTGTGAAAAATGACAGTCTTATTAACTTAATTCTTTCTTTCCAGTTTTTACATACATTTCTGCCTTACTATACTAGGATGATGGTAAGAGAAGCAGAAGTTATTTTTATTATTAAATATGATGTTACCTGTAGGCTTTTTTTGGTAAAGAACCTTTATTCAATTAAGAAATTTCCATCGTGTTTCTAGTTTGTTGAAAGCTTTTATTTTGATCGTGAGCAAGTGTTAAATTTTACCAAATGTCTTTTCTGTATTTATTGAGATGACCATTCGATTTTCTCCTTTATTCTATCAATGTGTTGAATTACACTGATTGACTTTCAAATGTTCAAGCAACTTTTGAGTTACTGGACTAAATCCACATGTATTATGCATTTTTTATATTGCTGAGTTTGATTGGCCAATAATTACTTGGAATCTTAACAATTGTGCTCATGAGAGCTAAAGGCTGGCAGTTTTCTTATTATGTCATTGTAAGGATCAGATATCAGGGTTAGGCTGGCCGAATTTTTTAAAAATGAGTTTGGAAATTCTCCCTCTGGCTCTATTGCTGACATTTTGTCTAAGATTCATTTCATTACTTCCTTAAGTGTTCGGAAGATTCCCCTGTGAAGCCATCTAGGCTAAGTGCTTCCTTTGTGGGGAGGTTTTTAATTACAAATTCAACTTGTTTAACAGATATAAAATGATTCAGATATCCTACTCTTTTCTCTTATCCATTTTAGGAAATTGAGATTTTTAAGTGATTTGTTCATGAATTCACAAACATGGTCATGTTCAGATTTATTGACATAAAGTTACTCATAATATCCTCTATTACTCTTTTAGTATCTGTAGGATCTGTAGTAAACTCCCTTTTTTATTTCTGATATTTGTACTTGGCCTTTTCTCTTTTTATTTTCTTTCTTAGTTTGTTAAGCATTTATACAAGTTACTGATCTCATCAAAGAAACAAGTGTTGGCTATTGTACGTCAGCTACGGGTTTCACTGATTTCCGCTATTAACTGCATAATTTCTTTCCCTCTTTGTTTGGGTTTAATGTGCTATTCTTTTTCTGGTTTCCTAAGATGAAAACTTCAATGACTGATTTTTCAATCGTTTTTTCTTTTCTAATATAAGCAGAGCTTATACATTTCTTCTCAGCATTGCCTTACTACATAGTTTACTTCCCTTATTGTTAATTTCAAAATATTCTCTAATCACCATCATGATTTATTCTTTGATCCAGAGGTCATTTAGAAGTATTTCCGTGTGATTTCCAATTATTTGGCAGCGGGGGAGGGAGGGCGGATTTTCTAGTTACCTTTCCCTTACTGATTCTAGGTTGATTCCTCTATGGTCAGATAACACACTCAATATTCTTTTAATCACTCAAAATTGTTGAGGCTGGCTTTACAGCCCAACCTCTATTTTGGAAAATGTTTCATGTGCATTTGAAGATAATGTGTATTCTGCACATTATTGGGTATAGTGTTTTGTGTATATCATTTAGATCAAGTTGGGTAACAGTGTTGTTCAAATCTTCTACATTTTTACTGAATTTCTACCTGTTGTTCTTTAGTTACTGAGAAAGTTCGGTTAAGATTAGCATCTGTGGTGGTGAATTTGTCTATTCCTTTTTTTAGTTCTGTTATTAGATGGATACAATTTAAGATTATTATGTCTTCCTGTTGAATCATATAATATAATAAAATGCTTCTCACCGTCTCTATTGATGCTTCTTGCATTAGAGTCCATTTCGTCTGGTGTTAATATGGTTGTACTGCTTTCTTTTGGTTAGGGCTGGTGTGATACAACTTTTTCAATTCTTTCATTTTCAATTATTTCTTTTCTTATATTTGAAGTTGGCTTTCCTTTTTTTCAACATGGAAACATTTTGTTTCTTGTATCCAGCCTGACAATTTGTCTTTTATTTGAAGTGTTCAGCCCATGTACAATTAATATACTTGCTGATGTAATTGGGTTTAATTGTATCTTGTTATTTGTTTCTTATTTGTTCCATTTATTCTTCGTGACTTTCTTTCTCTTCCTTCCTTCCTTCCTTCCTTCCTTCCTTCCTTCCTTCCTTCCTTCCTTTCTTCCTTTCTTTTTTTGAGATGGGATCTTACTGTGTTGCTCAGGCTGGAGTGCAGTGGCATGATCATGGCACACTGCAGCCTTGACCTGAGCTCAGGCAATCCTCCTACCTCAGACTCTCAAGTAGCTGGGACTACAGGCATGTGCCACCATACTCAGCTACTTTTTGTATTTTTTGTAGAAATGGCTTTTTTCCATGTTGCCCAGGCTGGTCTTGAACTCCTGGGCTCAAGCAATCCAGCTGCCTCAACCTCCCAAACTGCTAGGATTACAGGGGTGAGCTACCACACCCAACATCGTTGTGACTTTATATCTCATTTTTTGTCTTCTTTTGAATCAATCAGGTAGTTTTAGTTCATTTTTCTCTATTAGCTTCGTGGTTTTAACTCTTATTTTTACAGTACTTACCTTAAAGATGTCACTATACATCCCTGAACTACTATAGTCTACCTTAAGTTAGTACTTTTATCACTTCCCAAACAATTGAAGAACCAATGCTACAATTCTATGGTTTAACTCCATTCACTCCACTTATCCTTTATTCTAGTGTAATGTCTGTTTGCTTCTATATATATTATAATGGTAGCAAAAAGTTAGTGTTACTTTCTTTTAAGCAGTCAAAATGATTCTCTTCTTCTTTTTTTTTTTTTTTTTTTTTTTTGAGATGAAGTCTCACTCTGTCACCCAGACTGGAGTGCAGTGGCACGATCTCAGCCAACTGCAACCTCCACCTCCCGGGTTCAAGCAATTCTCCTGCCTCCGCCTCCTGAGTAGCTGGGATTGCAGGCGCCCACCACCGTGCCCAGCTAATTTTTGTATTTTTAGTAGAGACAGGGTTTCACCATGTTGGCCAGACTGGTCTTGAACTCCTGACACCAGGTGATCCACTCACCTGGGCCTCCCAAAGTGTTGGGATTACAGGGGTGAGCCACCATGCCTGGCCTCAAAATAAATATACATCCCATATTTATTCTTTCTGGTGCTCTTTATTTTTATCTTTAGTTCTCATTCAACATGTAAAAAGTTTCCTTTAGTATTTCTTGTAGTGATGATCAACCAGAGGTGAATTTCTCAGCTTCTGTTTGTTAAAAATGTCTATTTTACCTACATTTGTGAAGGATACTTTTGCTAGGCATATAATTCCAGTTTGATTTTTGTTTTTTAATCCCAGCATTTTAAAGATGCACTGTCTATTGTCTGTTGGCATCCATAGTTTCTACTCAAAAGTAGTTGTCAGTCTTATTATTGCTACTTTGAAGGTTATGCATTTTTCCCTAGGGCTGCTTTTATGGTTTCTTCTTTGTCTTTGTTTTTCAGCAGCTTAAGATGTGCTAGATATTTTTGTCTTTAAAGTGGGCTACAAGGTTGCATATAACCAGGCTCCTATTACCTTTATAATCTTTTTTTTTTTTTTTTTTTTTTTTGAGATGGAGTCTTACTGTGTCACCCAGGCTGGAGTGCAGTGGTGTCATCTTGGCTCACTGCAACCTCTGCCTCCCGGATTCAAGTGATTCTTACTCAGCCTCTTGAGTAGCTGGGATTACAAGCCTGTGCCACCATGCCTGGATAATTTTGTATTTTTAGTAAAGACGAGATTTCACCACGTTGGTCAGGCTGGTCTCAAACTCCTGACCTTGTGATTTGCCCGCCTCGGCCTCCCAAAGTGCTAGGATTACAGGGGTGTGCCACTGCACCCAGCCACCTTTATGATCTTTTGTCTCCCACTCTTCCCTTGCTAACTGTGTTCCAACCACCCTGGTTCTTCCATTCCTTGAACACACACTGGTCATACTCCACCTCAGGACCTTTGCATTGGACATTTCTTCTGCCTAGGATAATCTTCTCCCAAATATTTGCATGACTAACTCACATTCCTCCTTGAAGTCTTTCCTCAAAAGTCACTTTCTCAATGAGGTATTCCATGACTATACTATCTAAACAACAACCTGTTCCCCATCGCCAACACTGACTGATATTATTTCCATAGCACTTTTCAGCTTTTAACATGCTATGTAAGTTATTTATATGCTTATTTTTATTATCTTCTTTTCCGACCTCACTAGAGGGTAAATTCCACAAGGGCAGGAATTTTTATCTGTTTTGTTCACTAATGTATGCATCTCAAGTGCCTAGAAACCTGCCTGACACCTGGAGGAGGCTTAATAAAAGCATGCTCATGACTGTTCAATTAAAGGGTAGCAGATGTTTGCACTCACTGTTAGAGAAAAGAACCTGGACTTTGCTCCTGCATTTGTGATTCAAAGGACATCAAATCATGTACACATTCTGACCCAGGATGGTAAGCCTGGTGCACAAGTCCCCACTGACCAGCTTGAAACATATCCCCTGTTTCTGCACTTTTATCCAAATCCCTTCAAGGCTGGGTGTGGTGGCTCATGCTTGTAATCCCAGCACTTTGGGAGGCTGAGGTGGGTGGATCACCTGAGGTCAAGAGTTTGAGACCAGCCTGGCCAACATGGTGAAACCCCATCTTTACTAAAAATACAGAAGTTAGCTGGGCGTGGTGGTGAGCACCTGTAATCTGAGCTACTTGGGAGGCTGAGGCAGGAGAATCACTTGAACCCAAAGGTGGAGGTTGCAGTGAGCCAGGATTGCAACACTGCATTCAAGCCTGGGTGATGAAAGATAAACTGCATCTCAAAAAAAAAAAAAAAAAAAAAAAAAAAAAAAAAAATCCCTGCAGCGTGGCTCATCTCAGTCCAGCCTGAAGAGGGACAACAATCTGACTAAACCAATGCACACTAAGATGCTAGTGACTGATAGTCTTTAACACTTTCAAGGACTTTTAAAGGAGCACCTTGTTCATTTACTGGGTTTACTCCTGACAAAAGCAACTTGCCATAGCAAGCAGCATCAGGATGTACAGCTCATAGTTCTGGGTTGAAACTCTCAGTTCTGCCATTTGTTGCTTTCTCCTTAGGTAACCTCCCCTGCTTTTCACTGTTTTGTTCAGGTTTTTTTTTCCTCTGAAAAACAGGGATAGTAATTTTTGTCTTATCCACCTCAAGGACTCAAAAATATAATAGATTAAGGAACTTCAAAGTTGAAAGGGAACTTAGAGATCATCTAGGAATTTTTATTTTTGTTTTTAGGTAATTCTTTACAACTTTCACTTTCAATAACACTGTCTCATTGAAATCTCAGAACAACCATGTCAAATAGGAGAGAAGTCATTAATCCCTTTTTACAGGAAGGAAACAAGTTAAGAGAGGCCAAGACTCTGTGGCAAGTTAGTGTCACAGCTGGGAGCAGTGGTTCTTTGTTCTACAGAACTTTCCCTGTAGTCCCTGCTAGAGGGTCCTAAACCAAAAGGTCAGCTGACTCTTTCTTATACATCTCCATTGCCTGGGGAGCTCACTGCCATCCAAGACAGCCCATTCTCCAGTAGGGTGGCTTTGATAGCTGGCTGTCATTTGTGGTGGTATAGAACGTGTTACATTGAGAAAAAGTGATGTTTAGGGCTTTCACCCTAATGTGTGTTTGGGGGCCAGAGAGTTTGCAGAAATATTCAGAGAACATACAAAGACAGCCAGGATGACAATAATAATAACAATGCCAATCTGATGGTGTCACATCCCTGTTGGTAATCCTTTAATAGCTTCCTGGTTCCCTGAAGGGTGAGTCCAGACTCCTTGATGTGCCCGCCATAAGCTAGGTCCAGCCTCAAACTATTTCTCCATGCCACACTCATCTCCCCCACCCCACCCTGGCCATCCTGACTTCTGTTTGCTTTGCCTGGAAAACCTTCACCTCCTCCTCACCCCCACTGCTCCTACAGGCCTCTGTACTCCCCCTAAAGGCCCTACACACTGCTGGGTTGTACTTATCCATCTCTCCAGACACACTGTGAGCTGGGAAGGGTCAGAGGCTGCATGGGGTTCCTCTGCCCTGGTGCCCAGCATGGAGACTGGCACAGAATAAGTGATTGCCCCATCCCTGCACACTCACAGACATCTCTGCTATTCTCATAAGCCAGACCAGGAGAGGGTTAAACAATCATGCTGGCCTAGGATTAACTTTGGCATTAGAGAGGCAGGTGCCCCAGTGTTTTACCAGGTGCTTGGAAACCTGCTCTCAGGTCAGCTCAGAGACTCAATCCAGCCAGGTCATCCCTAGAGCTGACTGAGACCTGTGCCGTTCCTTGGGCCCTGAGCTGCGCTGCTGGGGGTGGGCGTGGGTGTGTGGAAAGAGTGGGTAGAGCCTGGTCCTGTGCAGGCTAGCTCTGTGGCCTTGGTTGAGTTCTTCCTACCTGCTTAGGTTTCCCCATCTGGGCACAAAGGAGGCGGGTCCGAGTGGTCCCACGGGTCCCTCTTGTGAGGACTGGCCAAGAGCAAGGGATCCTCAGACTCCAGAACCCCCTAGCTAGGGGTCCCCTCGCTTGGGAGAGACTTTCTCCACCGCAGGGGTGAGGAAGGGTAAATCTTTAACGAGCCAGCCCTGGGCAGGCTGGAGCCTTTCCGGATGGATGGCTGCCTGGGATGGGGGATGGGGTGGGAATGCAAGAAGTGTGTAGACAGTCCCAGTGTTGTGGAGAAGGGAGGGTATTGGGGGGAGTAAATAAAGGAGACGCGGGCGGAGCTAACTGCGTGTGCAGAGCAGGACATGGAGGAACGCGGGTCACCCGACGGGTAAGCAGATCTTCTGAGAGGTTTGAGGAGTCCTGAGCAGCCGCTGGGTGCAGGTATGGTAACTCGCATTGCTGCCCACAGGGATCTCGCGCGAAGCCTGGAGCAAGGGCCAGAGGGGCCGGAAACGCCCATCCAGGTGGTGCTCAGGTGGGTATAAGTTGGCTAGGAGGCACCTGGGCGAGGCAGGGATCGATGAAGACATCAGGATGTACCATCTGCCCTTCTGTCGGACCCCAGGGTACGTCCCATGAGCGCGGCCGAGCTACGTCGAGGGCAGCAGAGCGTGCTGCACTGCTCAGGGACCCGGACTCTGCAGGTGAGGAACCCGTCTCTCTGTCTCCCCAGCAAACCCCGGGGACGCCAGGTCCCTTCCCCCAGGCAACTTTGCCCTAGGCCCTACCCTCCCCCGGAGTGTTCCTCTCCCAGGTGCCCCACCCTCCCCAGAGTGCCCCTCCCTTCCAGGATGCCCAGCCCTCCGCCATGGTGCGCCGCGCCAACCCCTCCGAGTGCCCTGCCCCTTCTGAGGGCCCGCGCACCCAAGGTGCCCGCCCTCACCCAGAATGCCCCGCCCCTCCAGGGTGTCCCACCCTCCCCAGAATGCCCCGCCCCTACTGAGTGTCCCCCTTACCCCCAGTGCAGGGTGCTCGCCCACCGAGGGCCTCATCGAGAGTCCTACCCTCCTCCAGGGTGCCCCGCCCTCCTCCAGAGTGCCCCGCTCCTCCAGAGTGCCCCGCCCTCCAGGGTGCCCCGCCCCTCCAGGGTGCCCAGCCCTCCTCCAGAGATCTCCGCTCCTCCGCCCTACCCGCGCCAGGTGAGCCCTCCAGGCGGGGGTCCCGAAGTGGCGTTCCGTTTCGGTGCGGTGCTAGACGCGGCGTGCACGCAGGAGGACGTGTTCCGGGCGTGCGGTGTGCGGCGCCTGGGGGAGCTGGCGCTGCGCGGGTGAGTGAAGCTTCGCCTCCGCTCCGCGCCGGGCCTGGCGGGGGCCCGAAGCACCCCCAACCCTCACCCGGGGTAGCCGCCCGAGTACAGCTACACCCTTGCCGCCCGCAGCTTCTCCTGCACTGTCTTCACCTTTGGCCAGACGGGCTCCGGGAAGACCTACACCCTGACTGGACCCCCTCCCCAGGTGGGCGAGCGCCGGCGGAGCCCTCACGGGGCGGGGCTAAGTGGGCTGGAAACCCTGGGGAGTCGCAGGCGACGCAGACTCCCAGAGGAAAGGGACTGGGACGATGCAGCCTGACCCATTTGTTTGCAGACGAGGACGCTGAGGACCAAAGAGAAGGGACTTGCCCAATTTGGAGCATTTGGGCTTCAGCTTTGGCCCCTTCCTAGCTCTCAGTTTTCTCATCTGTAAAATGGAAGTGACAGTACCGACTATGAGTTAAATGAGCCATTGCTTGGGAACTTGGCACGTTTCCCGGCGCACGGTATCATACATGCGCTACAGAGGGTAGTCATTACTGTGGAGATGACGGTGGTTCAGTTGGTTTTGCCCCCAGGGAGAGGGGGTGCCCGTACCCCCTAGCCTGGCTGGCATCATGCAGAGGACCTTCGCCTGGCTGTTAGACCGCGTGCAGCACCTGGGTGCCCCTGTCACCCTTCGCGCCTCTTATCTGGAGATCTACAATGAGCAGGTAAGGGAATGCGAGGAATAGAAAGACAGCCCATGAGGAAACGGAGCGCTTCTTTCCAGGGAGCCTGGATCAAAGGGCAGAAGGGGCGGTGGGGGACTCTGTTGTCAGTAAGATCTGGGGGTGGGTGGACTCGGAAAGATCCCCTTTCCTCACCCTCCTCCCTCCCCTCCCAGGTTCGGGACTTGCTGAGCCTGGGGTCTCCCCGGCCCCTCCCTGTTCGATGGAACAAGACTCAGGGCTTCTACGTGGAGCAGCTGCGGGTGGTGGAATTTAGGAGTCTGGAGGCCCTGATGGAACTTTTGCAAATGGGTGTGTGCTGACCGCGGGGAGTTTTGCGGGTAGGGGTGCCCATTCCTCAATTGTTCACTGAGTGTGTGGACTTGGGACCCAGACTGCAGCTGCAGCTTCAGCTTCAGAAATGACTCCTGGGAGAGGTGGGGAAGGACCAGTAAACTACAATTCAAAGACATGGCCCAAGGGTACCCCCTGCACCCACTGCCAACAAGGCCTGCAAATTCTGCCTTCCAAACTCCTTTCACGCTCTCTCTTTAGCCCAGGGCCTTGGCCTCAGCCAGGACTCATTCTTGCTCCCTGGTGGTCTCTGCACCTCAAGGCTCTCCCCTGCCAATCCATTCTACTCTATGCTGCAGACCCCATCTCTCTTTGCCTCCAGACCCTCCACCCTTCCAGGGCCCTGAGGATCAAGGTCATACCTCTTAGCTTAGCCTAAAGGCCGTTCCCTTTTAGCCTCATTCTTTTTTTTAAATCAAGTATTTATTGGACACCCCTCCTTTGGCAGGGACTGGAGATGCTAACTGTAGATTCTGGCCCCAGCACTGTGCCACACCTCTCAGCTGATCTTGCTGCCTCAGTTTCTCCCCCTTCTTTCACGAAGCAGTGGGAAAGATGTTTATAAAATGCAAATCTGACTGTCATTCTTCTGTTCAGTTTTCTCTATCCTCTATTCACCCATCTCTGCTACAGCAGGACCCAGCCTCCCATCGTTCCCTGAACAACACCCACTTTGTTGCCTCCCTGCCTTTGCATGAGGCTTGCTCCTCCACCAGGATTCCTTTGCTCCTTTTTCTTCATTGGTGATGACCTGTTCTTCCTACCAGGTCCAGCTCCTGATGTTTTTCCCTTCCAGGTCTCAGCCGTCGAAGGAGCTCAGCACACACCCTGAACCAGGCCTCCAGCCGAAGCCATGCCCTGCTCACCCTTTACATCAGCCATCAAACTGTGAGTGCCCCAGCCTGGGAAGGTGCTTGCCCAGGGCCACCAGCAAAAGTCTGTCTGGACATACAAACCAACTTGGGTGTGCATGGGGGGTACTAGTGGAAACCCTTGGCCCCATAACTTTGTGGCTTTGGTGGGGACAGTCCCTCCAAAGTCGCCATGAAGCTCTGACCCCTCAGGCCCAGCAGATGCCTCCTGTGGACCCCGGGGCACCCTGTGTTGGTGGGAAGCTGTGCTTTGTGGACCTGGCAGGCAGCGAGAAGGTTGCAGCCACGGGATCCCGTGGGGAGCTGATGCTTGAGGCCAACAGCATAAACCGAAGCCTGCTGGCCCTGGGTGAGACCTGGGGACCACCAGTGTGATTTCCTGTCTCTCCTCTGCACCTGGCTCACAGCTGTCCACAATAGGGGATACCAGAGGAGTTGTAGTGCAAAGAAGAGGGTTAAAGAGCTGCGATCCAGGAACCAGAGGCCTCATTCTGGCCCCAGCTCTGCTGTTGACTTCTCCCTTCGTAAAACACTGCTTATGAATCTATAAACTCTAACGGTGTATGAAGTTACGTGCTAATTTGGGAAATAGAACCACTCAACTGCAGAAGATGAGCCCTCAGAGATATTTGGCATGTCCCTTGTGCAGCTGGGAAGACTGAGGCCCAGTAAAGGGAAGGGACTTGACCTTTCTCCCCATCCCCACCCCAGGATATCGAACCTGGAGATCCTCAGGGACTGGGCCCTCAGGATTCCTCTGTGGCATGCATGCGAGATGCCCACGAAACTCCTTTGTGTTCAATCCATTTGTTCGAAGTTTCCTGCTGAGTGCCTGAGTACCAGGCCCTTTGCTGGGCACTGAGGGTCAGGGTATACAGAGCCTTCTCTGCCCTCGAAGAGTCCCAGTCTGGCGGTGGGGACCAATCTGACTGAGTCATGAGATCATGTGGGAAGATGGGTTTTTAGGGCAACGCAGGCCTGGGTGGAGAGCCCAGCTCTGCAGCCTGCCAGCCTGATGGCCCTGGGCAAGCAATGCAACCTTCCCGACTCTTGATGTCTCTCCCCAGGTCACTGCATCTCCCTGCTGCTGGACCCACAGCGGAAGCAGAGCCACATCCCTTTCCGGGACAGCAAGCTCACCAAGTTGCTGGCAGACTCACTGGGAGGGCGTGGGGTCACCCTCATGGTACTTAAGCGGGGCCTGGCAGGGAGGGTTGGGTCTTGAGGAGGGGGCCCCCAGAGAGGAGCACTCAGTGGGAGTGCACTCCCCAGGTGGCCTGCGTGTCCCCCTCAGCCCAGTGCCTTCCTGAGACTCTCAGCACCCTGCGATATGCAAGCCGAGCTCAGCAGGTCACCACCCGGCCGCAGGCCCCCAAGGTGAGTATAGGCAGGCACAGGCTGAGGGACAGGCGTGGAGATGCTGGGGGATCAGGCAGGAGTTGGAGCCTAAGTCCCTTGATTGAGGTCTTGGACTGGGTCAAAGCTGAGATTAGGATTGGAATCCTGGAAATGGTGTTGTGGCTGTGTAGGGTGAGGTCAGGGTCCCAGCCAGGGTCATGCCAGGTTTAGGGCAGGTCTAGGGTTGGAGTTTGAGTTGGGATCTGATTCAGGGTCTAGCTCAGTTGGTATCATGGTTAAGTGGGAATTGATCTGGGGTCTAATAAGGGGTCTCGTCTGGAATCATCTGGCCCAAGGTTTGGACAGAACTGAGTTTGGGATTGGACTCAGAGCTGAGTCCAGCTCAGAGTGGGGCCCTCCAGGACAGTGCAGTTAGGACAAGGTAACCCCTCCAGGCAGATGCAGCCTTGTGCCAAGATGCAAGGCTGACGAGTGAAGCATGGGCTGGATTTTAGGCCCCAGTTACTTCCCACACCTGGAAGTCCTTGTGCAGTGCACAACTTATACAACCGTAAAGGTGGCCCTGGGCCTCTTTCGCTACAGTCTCCTGTGGCAAAGCAGCCCCAGCGTTTGGAGACAGAGATGCTGCAGCTCCAGGAGGAGAACCGTCGCCTGCAGTTCCAGCTGGACCAAATGGACTGCAAGGGTATGAGCTCCCTGGAGGCAGAGTAGGATTGGGATAGGGTCTGGGGCTGCTGTGGATCCACCACCTCCTGCTTCCCTGCAGCGTCAGGGCTCAGTGGGGCCCGGGTGGCCTGGGCCCAGCGGAACCTGTACGGGATGCTACAGGAGTTCATGCTGGAGAATGAGAGGCTCAGGTAGGGTCCAGCCCACAGCCAGAGGGATGCTGCCCCCCCACCCATCACTGTTAAGCTGCTTCTGCCAAGCTGCCCCCTCTCCCTGTCCCTGGCTCCCCTATGTCCCACCTGCTTCCTGAGCTGGTGCTATGCTGCAATGAAGAGGAGCTGACTGATGCCCCTGCAAGCCCCATTTCCTACCCCTTTCTGGCTTGTGCTCTACCCTAGGAAAGAAAAGAGCCAGCTGCAGAATAGCCAAGACCTGGTCCGGAATGAGCAGCGCATCCTGGCCCAGCAGGTCCATGCACTAGAGAGGTAAGCAGAGCCACCAACTTGGAGCCAGGCCTCCGGACAGAGGGCAGCTGGAAAAAGGGATGAAATGCTTGAGGCTTAATGAAATGCTTGAGGCTGGCCTCTGGATTCAGACCAACTAGGTTCAGTTTCCAGCTCTGCCGCCGACTAGCTGTGTCACCTGGGGCAAGTCATTTAACTTCTCACTGCCTGGGTTTCCTCTTCTGTAAAATGGGGGTCATCATCATGCTTACTTTATAGGCTTGTTTTAAAGATCAGAGAGAATGAGTTAACATGTAAAACCTTGAGAACAGGGCCTGGTACCTGGTACGGGATCCAGGAGTATTAGCTGGGAAGGGGATTTGAAAGCCAGCTTGGTGGTAGGGTTGGAGGCTGCAGGCATAGACCCTACTGTTCTTTTTAGGCGCCTCCTTTCTGCCAGCTACCGTCACCAGCAGGGCCCTGGCCTGACCCCGTGTCCCTGTTTGATGGCCCCAGCTCCCCCTTGTCACGTGAGTCTCACTGCCCAGCCTGGAGGGGTGACAAGTAGGGACATCATGGAGCCTCTGACGCAGCCTTTTGCAGGCACTGCCACCCGTCTACTCCTGCCCCTGCTGCCACATCTGCCCACTGTGTCGAGTGCCCCTGGCCCACTGGGCCTGCCTGCCAAGGGAGCGCCACCTGCCCCAGGTAGGAAAGGCCAAGGTGGGAGTGAGGGAAGGCTGGGAGAACCGGAGCCCTTGATCTAGGAGTCATCAGTCCAGAGCCCCAGGGATTCCTGGGCTCCATGCTAGATCATGGGGAGTGAATGGCTGGCTTAGGGCTCCCTCTGCCTGGGTTTAAAATAGCTGTTTACCCTCCCTCCTCTCCACCCTGCCCTCTTTTAGGAATTCATCCTGTCATTCACTTATTCAATCACTCACATATTTACTCACTTATGGATTTACTGAATTGTACATTCACTCACTCCTTCAGTAACTCCCCAAGCTCCTTGCTTTATACCAACCTCTCTTCTGGGCTCTGAGGATTCGGAAATAGACTAGACATGGTTCCTGCTCTCAGGAGGCTTCTAGTCTCAGGAGAGGTTGGGAGAAGAGCACATAGAAGAAGGCGACCAGGACCCCACCTCTTTATGCCATCCTGACATTCTTGATACCTTGTGGGGTAGGCATAGTGGGGTTTCATGGCTAGCACCAGGTAAGTGGGACACAGAGAGGCAGGACTGAGGTCACCCAGAGTGGGCTCTGGTCTTTCCTACAGGTGTTGGACCCTGAGGCCTCAGGTGGCAGGCCCCCATCTGCCCGGCCCCCACCCTGGGCACCCCCATGCAGCCCTGGCTCTGCCAAGTGCCCAAGAGAGAGGTGGGTCCCTCCCTGGGACACTGAGGTCAGAGGGGGGTGGTCTGGGGAACTCAAAGGCTCACCTCCCATCTCCCAACTCACCCTGTCCCAGGAGTCACAGTGACTGGACTCAGACTCGAGTCCTGGCAGAGATGTTGATGGAGGAGGAGGTGGTACCTTCTGCACCCCCCATGCCCGTGAGGCCCCCAAAGACATCACCAGGTCTGAGAGGTGAAGAAGGGAGAAAGGGAGGGGCCCCTAATGTTCTCTGTGGTCTTGGGGTAGAACCCACCCTCTCCAGGCCTCATCTCTGAAATGGGGTGGGTATTGAGAAGTGGCTTCTAAGATCTTTCTACTTCCAAACTTGGAATTCTCTTTTTAGGAGCACCTGCATGCCCAGATGTATGCTGGAGCTCATGGTGTATGGGGGTGGGGCGGGGGGAAGGGTGGAGGGCACCTACCCCCTGAGGCTTCTCTAGAGGATGTTGGGACCCAGATGGACCTGGGCGAGGAGGGGCCCAGGAGAGGGCAGGCCTTGAGTCTCACTGCTCCTTAGGTGGGGCTGGGGTTCCAAACCTGGCCCAGAGACTGGAGGCCCTCAGAGACCAGATTGGCAGCTCCCTGCGACGTGGCCGCAGCCAGCCACCCTGCAGTGAGGGTGCACGGAGCCCAGGCCAAGTCCTCTCTCCCCGTTGAAGGCCAAATGGGAACCCAGGAGACTGCTGTGTGACCTCGGACTGGGCTCTGTGCTCTTGGGCCTCAGTCTCCCCATCTGCCGAATGGAGACACAGCAGCTACTCCACCTGAAGCTGGGCTGGGGCGGGGCCTGGGGGTGCTATTTAGGGGAGCAAGGGGATTCAGGAGAAACCAGGCAGCAGGGGATGAAGTACATGAATAAAGAGAGGCATCAGCTCCAAGTCTGGTCGGTTCTGTCCTCTGGGATTGTCAGTCACTTCCCCGTGGGGAGTTAGAGAGAGGAAGGGCTAGGACTCTTGGCACAGATGTGTGTCCCCTTCCAGTCTGGAATATCCCAAGCTCCCATCTCCTTTCATGTATTTTTTTTTGAGACGGAGTCTAGCTTTGTCGCCAGGCTGGAGTGCAGTGACACAATCTCAGCTCACTGCAACCTCCGCCTCCCGGGTTCAAGCGATTCTGCTGCCTCAGCCTCTCGAGTAGCTGGGATTACAGACACGTGCCACCACACCCAGCTAATTTTTGTAATTGTTGTTGTTGTTGTTGTTAGAGACAGGGTTTCACTATATTACCCAGGATGGTCTCGATCTCCTGACCTCGTGATCTGCCTGCCTCGGCCTTCTAAAGTGCTGGCATTACAGGCGTGAGCCACCGCGCCCGGCCTCCCTTCATGTATTATACAAGTTTTGATTAAGCAACTGCTACATGCCATTGGGTAGGCGGGGGGCAATTGAATGGCAAGCATCTCCATGATGGAGGCATGAGGGAAACTGATTTGGCCTGGCGCACAGGGAGATGGGTGGTCAAAGGGCTCACTCTGTGTCACCGTGGGTCCTGGTGCTGGTGGGGATCAGGAGGCCTGGCTTCTTGTGCCATAGAGCTGTGCTGGGACTCTGGGCAAGCCCTGTTCCCTCTCTGGACACTCTGATTTTCAGTCAATTAAGTGGGGGACACAGCTTCCTTCCCATTGAGTTCTAGTGAGGGTCAAGGCTGTGAGCAATATCTCATTCGTGACATTAATGCCCTGTAAAATGCTATATTCGTTTGTTCTCAGCACTGCTGTAAAGAGCTACCTGAGGCTGGGTCATTTATGAAGAAACGCGATTTGACTCACAGCTCTGCAGGCTGTACAGGAAGCATGACTGGGAGGCCTCAGGAAACTTATCATGGCAGAAGGGCGAAGGGGAAGCAAGCACATCTTACCATGGCGGAGCAGGAGAGAGAGAGAATGAAGGGGGAAGTGCTACACACTTTCAAACAACCAGATCTCGTGGAGACTCACTGTCATAAGAACAGCAAGGGGGAATCTGCCCCCATGATCCAATCACCTCCCACCAGGTCCCTCCCCCAATATTAGAGATTGTAATTCAACATGAGATTTCGGTAGGGGCACAGAGCCAAACCATATACAGTGGGTCTGTGGTTACGGAGAAGTCCAGGTATGACATGAGGAATTGTGGGGAAGAAAGAGAGGGCCCATTACAGAAAGAGCTATGAGGCTAACCTAACTCTCCCGCTTACCGTTAGGGCAACAGACCCACATGGTTCCTTCATTTGTTCATTCATTCATTTAACAAACAACACTGATGGCTGGGTGCCTGTAATCCCAACACTTTGGGAGGCCAAGGTAGGAGGATTGCTTGAGCCCAGGGGTTTGGGACCAGGCTGGGCAACATAGTAAGACCCTATGTGTACAAAAAATAAAAAATCAGCTGGGCATGGCGGCACACACCTATAGTCCCAGCTACTCAGGGGGCTGAGGCAGGAGATCACTTGAAAACAAGTGGATGAGACTGCAGTGAGCCATGATCATACCACTGCACTCCAGCCTTGAAAAACAACAAAACAAAACACCACTGGCATCAACTGCAAATCAAGCTATAAGGTGACAAGACAAAAAAGGACCAAGGTGGCTTTTCCAGGGAGCTCACAGTGTGCTGGGGGACAGACAGACATTTACCACCTCACATGGGCTGGGGGAAGCCCAAGGGACTGTGGAGGCACAAAGGAAAGTTACTTGATCAGTGACCATTGAGGGGGTCAGGGAAGGTTTCCCAAGGAGGCCATGACTAAGGCTTGGAGGGTAGACAGCATTTCATTCAAGGGAAGGTGGAGGGGCTGTGAACGCAAAGGTTACAGACCTCTGAGGTTCCAAAGGTGGTCAGGGCCAGGAAGTGCGGGGCCTCCCAGGCCACAACCAGAGTTTGGGCTTGTGCCAAGGGCAGAGGGGAGCCATGGAAGGGTCTTGAGGCATCCCCAGCCTAAATTTGTATTTAGGTCACGCTGGCCACCTGTGGGAGGTAGCCTGACTGGAGACGGGGTACTATAAAGAGACCAACACAGAGGAGATGAGACACCTCAGCCAGTAGTAGCTTAGCTGGGGCTCGGGCTGGGCATCCCCTCAGACCCATGACCTGGATTTAGGCAAGGTCCGGGCAGGATGGCCTTAGCCACAGGCTTGGGGAGCCCTTGGGAGGCAGCAGGCTGAGACCAGAGGACCAGCCAGGGAGCAGCTGGGGTTGCTGGAGGGAAGTCACAGCCACCACCTGGAACAGAACTCAGACTGGCCACTATGCTCCTCAGACTGGCCACTGTGCTCCTCAGACCTGGCCTGAGGAAATCAGGATCGCTTTACCCCACCACACTCCCCAGTGCAGGACCAAGCAAAGAAAGACTCAGTGCTCTCCCACCCATCATTCTGGAAACTAGCTTTGGGAATGTACCCCCTTTTTCCTAGCGGAATGGGGACCCAGAGATAAGAGCAAGCTGTCTCAAGGATACTTGAGTGTGCTGTGTGACTTGGGGCAGGCTGCTGGGCCTCTCTGGGTCTCCCCCACTGCAGGCCCTTGGCTCCTGAGTCTATGCAAGGCTGGTCCCTGAAGCTGGGACTGGTGGAGTCCATTTGGGTTGGAGCCCCCGTGGCCAGGAATTGGTAGACAACACTTGTGACTGGGCATTAGAGGTTTTCTACAGTGGTGGCTTCCTGGAAGGCCAGAATCTGTGGAGGCAGAGCCCAGGGACAGAAGGTGACAGCCAGATACCACGGGCAGCCGGACCAGGCAGAGCAGTCTGTCGTTAAGCCCACAGATGGAACCACCCAAGCTCAAACCCATGAGTGATCCTAGGCTAGTGACTCAACTGCTCTGAGCCCAAGTCACTTATCCCCAGAAGGAACACAATAACAGTACTTCTTTACAAAACTGTCTTGCGAATGAAATTCCCTGGCATGTGGAAAGAGTGGATCATGTAGCTTTGCCAGTTGCAGACAGTTTCGCCAAAAGCAACCTTTAGTCAACATGGCAATTTGATGGAATTGATGATCAGGTTAAAACAAATTCATTCAATATATATTGACAGAACTGTTTAGAACAGAGCCTGGCATGTGGTCAGTGCTAAATACATGCTAGTTGTCTTTGCTGTCGTTATTTTTCATGGATGCTTTCAGTGCAAACATTCTATAAGAACCTGCTTTCTATGGGCTAGCACTGAATAAAGCATAGGACTTTTACCCTCATGGAACATAGACAACAAACAAGAAAGAGGGCAAAATACGTGGCATGTCAGATGGTGATAAATGCTACGGAGTAAAATAGAGCAGGAGAGTGGAGCTCTGTTGGGGCAGGGGTGCAGTCCTAAGCAGGGAGTTCCGCTGGAGGTGATGTTTGTACAGAAACCTGAACAGGGAGGTTGAGCCTGATGAGTGCCCTAAAGCCTTTATTTTCTAATGTTGGTAATTTCGATGCCACGTTAGCTTGGGTGGCTCTGCAGGTTTGTGCCTGGGCTCCTCCCCACTCCCCAGAACCCTTATCTCACTGCATTGTGGGCCTGCTTGCTGGGAGGTCCTCAGCCCCAGGCAGGGGAGGCCCTGGCACCAAGCGTGAGAGTGTGAGAGCTTTCCTTAATCGCCTTGGGAGGATGGAGGGGGACCACCCAGGGGGACCCTGGCCTCACTGGTTCATTCCTGTTTGGACGATTCCTGCTGGAGCCAGCCATGATTTTCCAGTTTCCCGGTTCCAGTTCACACTCCAGCTCAGCAAAACCCCACATCCTTTTCCAGAAAGAGACATAGGACTCAAGGAGACTGGCCTTCACTACCCTTGTCTCATAAGTCATGTATCCATCTCTCAGTCAGTGACATAGTTTGGCTGTGTCCCCACCCAAATCTCATCTTGAATCGTAGCTCCCGTAATTCCTATGTATTGTGGGAGGGACCCGGTGGGAGGAAATTGAATCATGGGGCTAGGTTTTCCCGTGTTGTTCTTGTGATAGTGAGTAAGTCTCACAAGATCTGATGGTTTTATAAAGGGCAGGTTCCCTGCACATGCTCTCTTGCCTGTCACCACATAAGATGGGACTTTGCTCCTCATTCACCTTCTGCCATGATTGTGAGACCTCCCCAGTCGTGTGGAACTGTGAGTCCATTAAACCTCTTTTTCTTTATAAATCACTCAGTCTTGGGTATGTCTTTATTAGCAGCATGAGAACAGACAAATACAGTCAGCATCCTCTCTCTAGAACTGCCATACTTCTAGGATCCCTAAACCCTGGGGGAATTCCACAGGATCCCAGTAATGTATCAAGACCCTTCCAATTCATTTGGTGCTTATCGAGAACTTGTGGACTCAGAAGAACACTTCTTGAGCCCTGCAAGCTACTTCAACACTTCTTGAGCCCTTCTGCAGATTGCTAGAAGTAGGGGACAGTTCTCTGGACCCCGAAACATGGTAGAGTTCTCAAGAACTGTCAAAAGAAGGTCTCCACTACTTCGGAACATTAGAATTGGGGGAAGCTCTTGGAAATCCTGAGACACTACAGAAATGTTCCAGGATTCCAAACCCCTAGAAGATCTTTCTGAAATGTTAAAACACTGTAGACAAGTTGGGAGGGATTCTCTGGAATCTTTGGCTGGGCGGGGATGTAGTGGGGAAGGGACGTTCACCAGAGTTCTGAAGGCCATCCATGGGTTTCTAGAATGCTGGCTGCCCAGATCCTTGGTTGAATTTTCCAGATCCTTGGGGATCCCAACTCTTAGCCCCTTTTCATTGCACAATGAGGAGCATGGCAGAAAGCATTGCAGTCGGATGGCACAAGCTTCTGGAAGAGCACTCCTGTGGACACTTGTACTTAAAAGGCTATGAGGTCTTGTCTGGGGGGCCAACTCCCAGATAGACCCCAAAACTGGGAGTCATTGTGAGAGTTTGTGAAGACCCTCCTGCCAAGAACA